TCCACATGATAATAAACAGGACACCCAAACACTTTCAGTGAAGAGTAATCAGCAGGCTTACCATACCACACTTCATAAGGAGTCTTACACTCGATACCTGTGTGAGGTCCACGGTTGATCAGGAAGCACGCCATGTTTACTGCTTCTGCCCAGAATCTTCTCTCTAGTCCAGCATTAGAGAGCATGCACCGTGCTCTCTCCAACAATGTCTGGTTCATCCTTTCTGCAACGCCATTCTGCTGGGGTGTATCTCTAACAGTCCGATGACGGGCAATCCCTTCATCCTTGCAGAATTCGTTGAACTCAGAACTGCAGAACTCCAGACCATTGTCCGTTCGCAGCTTCTTGATCTTCTTCCCGGTTTGATTCTCCACCAATGTCTTCCACTGCTTGAACTTCGTGAAAGCCTCACTTTTCTGCTTCATCATGAAAATCCAAGTAAATCTCGAATAATCATCAATAATAGACAGAAAATACCTGCTGCCTCCAATGGATTCAACTAGTGAAGGACCCCAACAGTCGGAGTGGAGGTAATCTAGTATCCCCTTTGTCCGGTGGATACCCTTCTTGGGAAACTTGCTGCGATGTAGCTTCCCAAACACACAATGCTCACAGAATTCCAAATTCTGCACCTTGTGCCCGCAAAGAAGATCCCTCTTCGATAGAACTTGCATCCCCCGTTCACTCATATGCCCCAGTCTCATGTGCCAGAGAGTGGTCATATCTTCCTGTTGAACCTGAGACGATGCAACTGCAGCAGAACCAGACAACACAGACCCTTGTAATGCATACAAGGTCCCACGCTTCACGCCCTTCAACACCTTCCTTGAACCTTTGCAGACATATACAACTCCACCTTTTCCTTTGAAGCTGAAGCCCTTGCTGTCGATTAGACACAAGGAGATCAGGTTCTTTGTCATTCGTGGAACATGCCTGACATCATTCACGGTACAGAAAGAACCATCATGAGTCCGAACCTTTATGGACCCGATTCCAACAACCTTGCAGACAGCTCCATTAGCCATGACCACGTTGCCACCATCTATCTGCTCATAGGTTGTGAAGCAATCCCTGTTCGGAGACATATGGTATGAGGCTGCAGTATCCAGAAACCACACATCACCACGATGTGCCTTCTCATCTACAGCCAAGGCGAGATCGTCTTCAGAACTGTTGTCCACTTCTGCCACGGCAACTGAACCTTGTTTCTTCTGTTGCCCTCTTCTCTTGGGACAGTTGTACTTCCAACGCCCCACTTCCTTACAGTTGTGACAAGCATCACCTGGCTGTGGACCGGGACCCTTGGAATTCTTGCTCGAATTCCCTTTACCAGATTTCTTCTTTCCCTTTCCACCTGTAACAGCCAAACCCGATGCCTCACCACCTGTACCAGATCCGGACGCCTTATGTCTGATCTCTCTCGTATGAAGAGCAGACCTGACATCCTCCAACGACACGCTTTCTTTACCAGCAATAAAAGAATCAACGAAATTCTCATATGAACTCGGTAAAGAAACCAGCAGGATTAGGGCAGCATCCTCGTCATCAACTTGAACATCTATATTACGCAGATCCAGCAAAATAGAGTTAAGTTGTTCGAGATGTTCCCTCAAAGGCGTACCTTCTTGCATCCTCAAGCTGAACAACCGTTGCTTGAGATGCAGCTTGTTGGTTAGAGACTTAGTCATGTACAGACTCTCTAGTTTCAACCACAAGCCCGCGGCAGTCTTCTCAGCAGCGACTTCAATGATGACGTCATCAGACAACGATAGCATGATGGTTGAGTGGGCCTTCTCCTCCAGGGTATTCCACTCATCGTCATCGACCGCTGCCTTCTTCTGTTTCGCAGACAGCGGCCCCCACAGCCCTTGCTGTTTTAATAAAGCCTGCATCTTGATCTTCCATATAGCGAAGCTGTTCTTCCCCGTGAACTTTTCGATCTTCATGTTCACCGACGTCATTCTTCTGAATCGAAAAACCCTAGCCTGATTTCCAGCCGCGGCTCTGATACCACTTGTTATGAACGCGCTGCTACGGATCGGGAAATCGCCGGGATCGACAAAGCAAGAATACGAAAGCGAGAATCGAAAAAACACAGACACACGATTTACGTGGTTCACTAACACGATGTGTGTTAGCTAGTCCACGGGCGAGAGAGAGCCAGTTTCACTATATTGAGGAGATTACAGATTACAGAGGAGTATGAGAAGTATTTATAGTACTTCTCCATGTGGGTCTAAACCTAATCCAATCTGCCAAAGGAAACGGTTACAGACCAGGCCCAGAACCCGAACCCAAATAACATTGAGCCCATACACCGTGGGCCGGGGGCGTTGCCCCTGGACCCCCGATTACCAGTCGTAGCGGCTGATAGTCCGATTCAAGTCACAACAACAAATCTCCACCTTGACTTGAATACCAAGCAACTCTGAAATCTCTGATGTACTCTACTCCTTCTCTCTCTCCCGCCATCAGTGCCCCGTAGGGCGGAGTCACCCACTCAAGACATTCAGCAAGTCCAAGCAGTGTTGGAACTTGCCATGTGGAACCGGCTTCGTGAACATATCAGCAGGATTGTCCGCGGTACCAACCTTCTTCACCTTAATCCTCTTCTCTGTCCTCAAGAAATGATACCTCACATCGATGTGCTTAGTCCTATCATGGTGGACTTGATCCTTGGCCAAGCATATTGCACTCAAATTGTCGCAATACACCACTGCCTGATCATGATGTAGACCCAGATCACCAACCAGTCCCTTCAACCATGTAGTCCCGGTCAGCGAGACCCCCGATTACCAGTCGTAGCGGCTGATAGTCCGATTCAAGTCACATCAACAAATCCAACAGACAAAAGGGGACAAATTCACAACAAAATCCACTAAATCCCGGAAAAAATCCAAAAGTACCACTGTTTAAAAAAAAAATTCATAAATACCACTCAATCCCAAAAAATTCCAAAAATACCATCCTTTTTCAAAAACCGCCACCCCACCCAGCGGTTTGGTCGAAAACCGCTTGTCGGGGGCGCGGTTTTGGACCAAACCGCGGGCCTAGGGGGCGGTTATAAAATAAAAAAAAAATTTGACCAAAACCGCTGGGTGGGGTGGCGGTTTGGCCCAAAACGGCCACCCCAACCAGCGGTTTGGTCCAAAAGTTCGGTCGAAACTTCAAACGAACGTAACTTTGCACTCGGGTATCCGATCGTAGCGATATTTTTTTTCATTTCGCATAACTTTTCAAGATCTACAACTTTTACTAGGATGAAATTTTCAAAACAGGAACTATTTGTGGATATACGGGACCTTGAGAATAACTTTACCTTTACTTTTCAGAAATCCATGTACATTTTGAAATTATGATTATATTAAAAGTTGTAGATCATTCATAACATTCGGAGTTTGGAGCACAAAGTTATGGCCGCCCAAAGTTTGACGAAAGGCGAGACCCGGCGGTTTGCGGCTTGCAAGATCTCAAAAAGTTTGCGGCCTCCAATTTTTGAATCCGAATAACTTTTTGAGATCTTGCAAGTCTCAAACAGTCGGGTTCCGTCTTCGTCTCGAAAAAACGTCATTTGCCACCCCGAACGACCTTTTTTTATTTCGTCAAACTTTGGGCGGCCATAACTTTGTGCTCCAAAATCCGAATGTCATGAATTTTTTTTTATTCCGTATAACTTTTCAAGATCTACAACTTTTAATATAATCATAATTTCAAAATGTACATGGATTTCTGAAAAGTAAAGGTAAAGTTATTCTCAAGGTCCCGTATATCCACAAATAGTTCCTGTTTTGAAAATTTCATCCTAGTAAAAGTTGTAGATCTTGAAAAGTTATGCGAAATGAAAAAAAAAATCACTACGATCGGATACCCGAGTGCAAAGTTACGTTCGTTTGAAGTTTCGACCGAACTTTTGGACCAAACCGCTGGTTGGGGTGGCCGTTTTGGGCCAAACCGCCACCCCACCCAGCGGTTTTGGTCAAATTTTTTTTTTATTTTATAACCGCCCCCTAGGCCCGCGGTTTGGTCCAAAACCGCGCCCCCGACAAGCGGTTTTCGACCAAACCGCTGGGTGGGGTGGCGGTTTTTGAAAAAGGGTGGTATTTTTGGAATTTTTTGGGGTTGGGTGGTATTTTTGAAATTTTTTTTTTAAACAGTGGTACTTTTGGATTTTTTCCCTAAATCCCAAGGTTCAAAAAGGCGCTAGGCGTAAGGCGAGCGCTCTTTTCCTGACTTGCGCCTTGCCCGATTATGCGTAGCTTAGGCGTTCACAGCAGAAATGGAAAAATTCTCAAATATTTCCTGTTTTATGGAATACTTCATATAATCCAAGTACATATAAAATTAGTAATGCCTAGTTCTTAACAGTAAACACCTAACATAACAAATAACAAGCAAATAGTGACCACTTCCTAGAATCACAAGTTCATAAAGTGTCAAAATACTAAACAATAGTCAATAAGTTCATAGGAAAATGTTCATTCTTCATCATCCAAGTAGGTCCATCCAGCCACCACTTCATCTTCATCATCCTCAAAAGCAATCTCCTCACCATCCTCCTCCTCTTCCTCCTCTTCAGACTCGAATTCTTCATCATGGAGCTCTCTCACTCATGCACTCCTGCGAAGCTCATTGTGTTCACCCACCACTGCATCTGTAAGAGTACTCAAGGGTGCACAATATGATTCCTCATCCTCATCCACGAATACATACATAGCATGGTCATCCCCTGCCTCAAATAGGAAGCCTTGTGCTTCAGTTGCATCAATACTTAAGAGAATATCAATGTTTTTCTTTTCTTTTATCTTCTTCTTCTTGGACATCAACCTGGAGTTGAACTATATGTACACCAATTGATTGAGACGATCTGTTGTAAGTCTATTCCTTCTCTTGGTATGTATCTACAAGTACAAAATTGCATTGCAAGACAAATTGAGAATATGAAATATGAGTAATTGAACATAGTATAGATTAAGACTCAAATACTTACCGGCTCAAAATTTTCCAGTTTCTCTCACAGCCAGAAGAACTTGAGGTCAATGAAAAAAATCCTTATAGCCATTTTTTGTAAATTTGGTGTGTCAACTCCATACATTCTCCACCAAGCAACTAGGAAATATATTGGTAATTTGGTACTAAATTAGAGTCATGAAATAACAAGAAAAAAAGTCAAAGATATGAAGTAGTAGTGTAGTACTAACCAGGATTGTAATCAAAGTTTTGACAAGTCCTTGCAAGTTTCTTCCGAAAGGCGCCTTCTCTCTTTTGAAACTTCTGAAATTCATAATTCACAACCTGATCTTGCTTATCATCATCACCACTGTAAAATGTCTCAACACAATCCATGAATGTTGTGGTGATGTTTCCATCATCAAAGATGGACTCATCAACATAACTATAGAGTGGATTCAACATATACACAATGCAATGCAATGCAATGGAACATCAAGTCTCCCCTTCATCTTCTTGTCAACAATAGCCATAACTTCTGTGTGGCGAATCTCCACATTACTAAATGCCTCTTTAATCTCCCTCTTTGCCTTCACAATTTCACCATAAGCAAACCCCATAGATGGTCTCACATCACCATCAACCAAACGAAGAACTTTTACCAATGGTTCAAAAACCCTCAAGCAAAGGTGTACACCTTTCCAAAATGATGCATTCAACATTGTTGTTGTTTCTTCCTTGCCCTTCTTTGTTTGTGCATCTTTGAAGCTCTCTCACTTCCCATCCACCACCATCTTTCTAAGTGCATCCTTTTTATCCATCAAACTTTGCAAGGTGAGATATTGAGAAGCAAATCGGGTTACTCCGGATCTTATGATTTCTCTCTTCTTAGTGAAGAACCTCATGCATTTTAATGTACGACGATGCCCATAAATGAAGATAGTGAAACTTTTAGCTTCGTCAATTACCTTCTTGAACTTTGTCAAGTTGCCAATTCCTTGAAGCATCAAGTTGATGGTGTGAGTTGCACAGGATCTCCGAAAAATATTTGGTCTTTTCTCCAACAAGAGCTTCTTTGCTCCCATGTTATTGGAAGCATTGTCCGTCACAACTTACACCACATGTTCAACACCTAACTCCTCAATTGTTTTGTCAACTAGGTTGAAGATGACTTCACTTGTGTGTGACAGATCCGATGTGTCCTTTGACTTGATGAAGCTTGTTCCCTCAACACAATGTGTGACCATGTTCATTATCCTTCTTCTCATCATGTCTGTCCATGCATCGGTCATAATAGAGCAACCGTTCCTCATCTTCTCATCATCACGATCACTGAGCAAGCATTTTGTTCTTGTATATTATGATTTCAGCAAAGGCTCTCGAAGATCATACTAAGTAGGAGGCATAAAGCCCGGGCTAAACTAACCAATAGCCTCACACATTTGCTTGAACTCATCATTATCAATTGCATTGAACGGTATAGCTGTAAAATAAAAGACAAGTTGAAATATAAATTAATTTTGTAGGTTGTAAACAAAACTTCTTAGAAAAATAGATACAAAAGTGCATATTGCTTACCAAGTGTATACACCCAGCTTGCAACATATTGTTGAACTTGAAGTGTTCTCTCTTCAAAAAGTGATTTATTTAACTTCTGCTGATGAAGTGCTGCAGCTCTGAAGACAGCTTAGAATCAATAGAACGGGCCCACTTATCTATAGGTCATAACTTGTGAGGTTCTGAACTACCAACACAAGTCATTTCTTCATCCTATTGACCAGAGGAAATAATTACATCATCTCTCAACTCTTGTTCACGGACAATCTTTTCTTTCTTCTTTTTTATGTATTCTCAAAGGCTTTCAAGCATGCTTCTTTAGCTTCTAGTGGTGCTTTCTTGAATTTAAGCACCTTACTTGAATCTTGGGCAATGTGATGCTTGAAGCGATTGATACCTCTGGTACTATCATGGCCACAAAAATTGCACCACACTTTCTCCTTGTTATTGGGATCCACCAATCTTCCATATTCCCAATCTATATCACCAGACTTCCTATTAAAAGTATTGATATTCTCTTCATTTGTCACGGCCGTCGTTGAAGCATTAGTATCATCCATAATAGATACTAGATGGATAAATCTAGTATAGAAAACAAATTAATAAACAATTAGGGAATTGATTATAAAGAATGACAATCATACCAAATATATAGACTGCATCTATATATAGGAATCGCCTAGTATTACTGTATTAGTTATGGTTCCACAATAACTTATTCCAGTCTAGTTAGCAGGAGTTTAAATTCAAAGAGAGGCACGCATTAGACAAAATGATTAACATATTCTGATTTCTTAGTCTAACTTGCAATAGTTAAGGCATTTGATCATGTATAAAAAATTGAGCTAGAAACCAATAAAGGACTTCTAATTCTCCATCACATCCAGACAAAAAGAATATCGTTAGGAGCTACTTCTCTCCATCAAAAGAAGACAAAAATAATAAACAGAAAACCAAGTAGAATAGCAGGTAACGCCAACTTCTCTCCATCAAAACACTATAAAACATAAACAATTCTTCATGGTTGCTAATTCCAACTTGTTTTCGAGCGAGGACTTATAGAGTTGAGCAACAAACAGGAAGTATGAAGCAAAGAGAGGCAGAAGACTTACAGAGTAGAGCAGCGAGATTCAGAGTTGGTTGATAGCAGCTGAGCACTGGCGAGCTGCTCCCAATTTTGTCTCTCTCAACGGTGGCCGGCCAAGTAGTGAACTCCTCCCAACTCACCAACAGCTACGATCGATGAAGGAAGAGAGACTATTAGAGGAAGACAAACGAAGGCAGCTACAAATATAGAAGATATGGAGTTCTTGTTTTCTGAGTTGTGACCTAGAATGTCTGATGGAGGAAGAGAGACAAAGACCCTTGATATTCTGTAGGTTTTGATTTCTAATTCCCATTACTAACCTAACTAGCAGTTCACGAGGGTAAGAGATGGGAAACAGCAGCGTTGAGTGGAATTAAGGGAATGCTTAGCTGAAATTCAGCGGGCATAGGCGACCATTAGTCCCTACCCGCGTCGCTTAAGCGCTACTAATCATAATAAAGCGTGTCTAGCGCTTTTCCCAGCGCTTATGGCCAAATCAATGCGTTCTTCCACCGTCTAGCCCTTAATCAAGCCTAGACACGCTTTCTTGAACCCTACTAAATCTAATTCAAGCGAATTTACAATAAGTAATTGCAACCATTTAAAATAAAAAACCAGATTGACATTACCATAAAGCGCTCCAATTAGGTCTTATGTCATACCCCTCTCAATCATGCTTCTGCTTATCACAAAAGATAGCTTTGATGATACCAAACTTCATAACAACCAAAGATAAGCATGAGAAAGAGAGTGACATACTTGGAACTGAAACAAAAAGCACTCGATGCATCCTTCGTACCACCAAAAGGAACTTTCTTCCCCTCCTAGCTAAAGTTGCTATATGGGGATCAATGCAAATGATGCGAGGTTTCAACATGCTGATAACTATCAGTAATAAGAATCACAACTAAGAACAACTGAAACTTGATATAAATTACAAACAATATTCAATTTCAATTACCACCCTCACGACGCACCCTCTTCGCGTAGACTTCAACATGTGTTGGAACTTCAGGGGAGACATAAATTGTCCTTCCTTTCCCTAACAAATTCACAATGAACACAGAAATTATATGAGTTTTAATTGTCGTGCATATATGACTTCCTATCTATAAAAACATCATTCTAATAACAAAATGAGTATATTACATCGAGTAGTACTAGAATTAGAATTGAATAGGGGATTTTTGGGCCAGAAGATGAGTCATCATGATGACATTTTGGCCACATTGCTGCAGTCGTTGCACATGCTTCATACTAATTTGATATAGTATGGAATTGTCGAGGACTTAAGCACATGATTCATACTAATTAATAGGAAATTGCAAAGATTGCCCATTGGAAAATGAGAAAAGGCAGGGGACATTAGGGGTGTTCAAACGGTGTGATTATCATGGTAATCGTTTTAACTAGTACTATTTAAATAATTTGGTTTGGTTAATTTGGATAATTGGTTTGGTTTGGTTAAAGTTTTTAGTTTGTTTGGTTTAAGTGGTTTGGTTTGGTTTACTCCTAACCAGTCAAACCAAATTAACCAGATAAATAATTAGCCATATATCTAATATATACACATACTTAATACTTTGAATAACCACTCAAGAGTTAAACCTTAATCTTTTTAGACTCATAAAATATTGTTCCTATAATGTATATTTGTATATGTAGAGTGTAGACCACAACATATGAACGCCTAATTTAAATAAATCTCATACATTATGTTGGATAAAAACTTGAAAGCAAGGTCCTTTTTCAGCCTATGAAAATTGCTAAAAAAACTAAGTCAATTCAAACAAACACAACAATTCACTAACCCATACCATTGTGATAAAGTTTTGTTAGGTGAATACTTCTATACTAACCGTAAGATAATTGTCTTAGTTGCATGTATTTATGTTAAGGGTCAACTATAACTATGTGTTGATTGTTATGTTTTATTCGTTATATTTTTTTATGATAATGTTTTATTCATTGTATAAATTGTGCATTTGTAAATTAACCGAAAATTTCTCACTTAATGATAATATAATTTTATATTGGGTTAATCTGGTTAACCTTAGTTTGGTTAATTTGGTTGTTGTATTAGTTTGGACGGTTTGGTTATGATATTGTATTCCATGGTTAATAAAATTTAGCCTTATTTGGTTTGGTAATAACCATGGTAACCATTTGAACACTCCTAGGGTACATAGCAAATATTCACAAAGCCAAAACAAGAAACTACCTGACTAATGGAGCTTACAGAGAAGAATGCATAAATTACACGGTGGCGAAGTTGTTTGCCCAGTGTGCGCAATGTGCGACGGGTTTTGAGAGCGAGAGAAAAGCGAAGGTCTTTTCTTCTAGGAAGGGTTGGTAGAGAGACGGCAAAAGAGAAAATTGAACCAAGAGACAAAAATGCAAAGCGAGAGGAGTGGGGATTTTTCCCGGTGGCTTGCAAGACAGAGTATATGGCAACAAACACAGCAACGATCCGAGAAGTATAGAGAGGGCGAAGATTAGCAATTTGGATTTTAGATTCAGTATAGCAAAAAATACGGTCGGCACTCTGGTGAGTTGTGATGAGCAGAGAGGGCGATGGGAGGGATTTTGATTTGAGATTGAGAGTCGGAAAAAGGACTGACGAATTTGATAATGCATAAGATTGAAAAGAACACAAGGGACGATTTTACTTGGTATCCCTGTTCGACTTGAAGGCTGGCGATTTTATTATAGGACTACATTTTGACAGCTTGCGTACGACAAGAACTGTAGCTAAGCTATATATAGAGATAGATGTAGGATTAAAACCCTAATGATAACAAAGTTTCCTTCTTTTACAAGACAAGGAAACATAAGTGACTTAGAGGACAATGAATTAATCACTTGGT